TCGCCGAACAAGCCAGGATGGACCCCGGGAGGTCTCTTCTGAAGACAAATTTTGAAAGGATTTGGACAGACGGGAGCGCCGCCGATGTTTCAACTGGCCGTCCTCCGACTACTGCGCCGAACCCTGCCGGGCGGACTCTCTCAAAGGTGAGCGATGCGCTCTTTTCCTTGGATGCGAAGACGATTAAGCAGGGCGAGGGGAGATGGTTGCGAATAGCCCAGGATCAGTCAGCATCGACTTGGGGAATGGGATCGAATGGGAAACGCGGTGGCGCAGGCCGCAGAGGCACGGAGACGGAATCGAACCGAATCGGCCGCGCAAGGCTGGGAGGCCCCAAGAGGGCCTCAAGGCCTCCCCTTCCCCCTCCTCCCCCTCATCCTTTTCCTCCTCCTCGGTTTACACTGGTCCTCCTCGTTATTACGTTGGGCGAACTTGAGGTTCGTGTCTGTCGCGCTCGTACGACAAAATGGATGCTCATACCGATGACAGCCAGCCACCAATACTCTCTACTGCAGCGCAGCAACCAAACAAACTATCCAGCAGCAGCACAGCCGAGCCAAGTATAACACTAAGGAGGTGAAGAATGAGGAATTCGACATATCACTTGGTCCTCCTCGTCCTCCTCCGTCTCTTCCTCCTCCTCCTCCTCCTCCTCCTGCTCCTCCTCCTCCTCCTCCTCCTCCTCCTCCTGCTCCTCCTCCTCCTCCTCCTCCTCCTCCACTCCTCCTCCTCCCCTCCTCCTCCTCCTCCTCCTCCTCCTCCTCCTCCTCCTCCTCCTCCTCCTCCTCCTCCTCCCCCTCCTCCTCCAGGTGTTTTGGGTTTACGGCCTGCGTCGCGGGGCGCGTCGGGCCGACAGCCGCTCGCAAAATCGCCAGCAACGCCGATGTCGTCGTCCCGCGACGCGGCGCCCCCGAGGCTGCCCGCGGGGCCCACGCGGCCGCGGGTCTGGCCACCGCCGATGGGCGGCGCTCCGCCGCGCGGTGCCTCCGTGCGGTCGAGTCTTGCCCGCACTGCGGCGGCAGAGCTGCGCGCGCGGCCCGCCGCCCCGCCGAGCTGCTGGCGAGGCGGCCTCCGCGGCGGGGCCCCCATCGGAGGCGCCGCCGACCGCGCGGCCGCGGCGGCGCGAGGGGGGCGGGCGTGGCGCAGGCTGCCCGACGCCGAAGTGATGACGGCGGCGGGCACGAAAAACGACGCAGCTGGGCGGCGGCGGGCGCGGGGGCCGTCGTCGCATCGCCCGTGCCGATGCTGGTTGGCGGCGCTTGGGCTGACGATTCGCCGCGGGCGCGGCGGCGCGGCGGCCAGGCTCCCCGCGCGCATGGCCGCAGGCAAAGGCGAGGACGAGTGCACGGGCCAGGGCGGCGGGAGCAAGGACAAGGGCAGGCATGCCGGCTCGGAGGTCTGCCAACTGCGGTCGCCCGTCGCCGGCCTGGGCAAGAGCGTGGGGCGGCCGCCTGTGCCGGAGAGCAGTCCTATTCGGCAGCGAGGAACCGAGGGCAGCGACCTGCCACGTCGCGAAGACGCCGACAACGCTCGACGGTTGTGGCGCAGGCCGAAAATCTGGCACTTCATGTGACTCGCCGGCACTGTGTCCAGCGGCATGTGGTGGGGCCCGTCGGCGCGCTAGCCGTCGTGGCCTGAGGGTCGTCGTCATAGACCCCCTCGCTCGGGGGGTCATGGGCCCCCCAGGTGGAGCCCAGGCCCCCGGCGTCACGCGGCCGTGGGCCGCGCGTGCTGGGCGGTGAGACCCGTCGCTCTATGCAGAGCGCTATCCCCCTCCTGCTGCTCCTCCTCCTCATCATCACCATCATCATCGCACATCCCACAGCGCCCGAGGCACTCTATGAATTCAAGGAAATATTACGCAGCCTGGCCACTTGGCTGGTCTACCTCTGCTGCCAGAGGGGAAAATCGCTCTCATGCACAAGAGGGTATGAAAATCACAATCAACACACAGTGTGCAAGAACGAGGAGCAGTGAATGCGTGAGACCTGCATGCCAAGAAGCACAACGCACATACAGGAGGACAATCATTGCAGAAAGTGAGCAATCCATCAGGCCACGCCCACTGAGATCCCACATCGAATACGAAAGACAGCCTAGAGAGCACCGACCATCTAAGATTGCTCGCAAGCGCTGGCAGAAACATCTGAGGCACCCCAGTCCGTGGCCCCGAGAGCTTCCCGTCCGAAGAGGTCGATCTGCTTGCGTTGCCGAGTGAATTGGCGGTCTGCGTACTGCGCTGCCGACGCCTTCCACTCCTCCAGCTCCGTGGTACGCTCCAAGATGAAATCGAGGCGCTCACGACGGCAGACGAATGGAGAGGAGGAGGCCACCGAGAACGACCGCAGTTGCAGCTCCTCCATCCGCTCGCTGATGTAGAGGTCCCACGCGGCCGCGGCCGCCCCACCAGAAGGGCAGTCATCCCCCACAGGGGCCCGATCTCTCGCCTGCTCACCGTCAGAGCAGTCCTCCGTGGGGGGGGGGGGGCACCCCATCGGGGGGAAGCTTGGCGCCCCTACCTACCTGCTTGGAGCCCCGACGGCGGGCGGCGCCACCAATTTTCTGCTCTTCGGCATCGGGCACTTCACGGAGCAAGTCGCGCCGATGGGCACCGAGGAGAAAGCCACCGAACCGACAGTACAACGGTGGCCCATCGCGGTTGAGCTTCCCTCAATCGGGAACCAGCGACCCTCCCCAGGGAACAACTCAGCAGCATCGCGACGTAGAACATCGGGGGCAAGGTGTCGCTCCACCGCAGCCTTCGCCAGGGTCCGCTCGAGGTCCACAGCCAAGAGCGCATTCATTGACGGCATGGGCGGCAAGGCAGGACCAGGGGCCATCGCCTGAGCCTTCGATTGCCGCTGGATGGACTTCAGCTTGAACTGGGACGCACACTCCAAAACTTTAGCCTTGACGTGGAAACAATGGGATGCCGTGTTGCGCCGCGCCACCTGCAGCTTGCTCGGCAGCCTGACCGCAATCGCCGCTGCGAGCACGGGCACCACGAGCCTGAGCCGTGCCGAGAGCTCGGAGTCGTCCCCGACGACCGCCTGAAGATTCTCGAACTGCTCCTGCAGAGACTGATTATCCTGCGTAAGCCTCTTGACGAGGTTGTCTGCAAGACTCGATGGCACGTGAACGCCGCTGTCTCCGTGCAATAGCCGTACTTTCAGCATACTCTCGCCACACACCCGGGGCGAATCCCGCAGCCTCCAAACACCCGGAATCCGGCGCCATGAGCTAGCACATAGAGCCAAACTGTTGGTGGTGTTGCGGCGTGAGCCAAAATGGCTACGGACCCTCCTCCTCCTCCTCCTCCTCCTCCTCCTCTTCCTCCTCCTCCTACTCCTCCTCCTCCTTCTCTTCCCTCTACTCCGCCTGGCGCGCTTCCCGAAGCGGTTCTCCAAATGTCTCCACAACGGCTGGGGGAATGCGTAGTCCAATAGCTCGTCCAAGCCTTGGCCCAACGTATGGCCACATCGGCATCCCCAGGGAAGGGGGCGGCGGCGATTCGCCGCAGGCGCTTCCGATATTTTTACTGGAGCGGGGAGGGGGGGATCCCTAATTGCTTGCCTAAGATACAGTCGGACCCAGGTCAGAAGAACATCCCTCAAGAACATGAAGACCCCGCCGTGGGCCCAAACAACCAGAATATCCAAGGACACCCTCCCCAGGACGCACAAGCACATCCAACAGGCACGAAGAACACCGGAGCGCCGCCCCCGATCTGACCTCCATCTTGTACCTCGGCCCGACTGCAGCGTGCCTCACTGGGCGGCCGTGGAGACCCCAGCAAGCTGCGCACGCTCCGCGACCGTGCGCCGCGCGGCGACGCGAGCCCGGCACTCGTGCGCCACGCCCGCCGCAGGGCTCGCGCCGTGGGCAACCACGCGTGAACCACACCCCTGCCCTGCGGGCGAACCGTCTGCAACATCGGCTGGGGGTCTAGAGGCCTCCTAGATGAGGTCGGAGTAGATGGGGTCGGAGGATCGCGCCGCATCGGCGATGCTTTGGCGATGCATCGGCGATGCATCGGCGACGTGGGCGATGCATCGGCGACGTCGACGTGAAGCAAATCGGGCTCCACATCGAGCGGCATCGGCGATGCATCGGCGATGCGGCGCTATCCTCCGACCCCATCCACTCCGACCCCATCTAGGAGGCTTAGAGGGTCAGGCTCCGAAAGATGTCTGCAGTCAGGTGGACCCCGGCCGGGGTGTCCGACAGCCCAGCGCCGATGATCAGGCCCAGCGGGGCTGGGGCTCGCGAGCGGTCGCAGGCTCTGGAGGCCCTGGACCAGGCAGCGCTGACATCTCTCGGGGGGGCATGTCCTGGCTTCCGTCAGGTCGGGCATGTCCACCTCTACAGGCGGATGCCGGAGGAAAAACGAAGAACGGTCCAACAGAAACAGTACCCCGGCACAGTCAAACATGATCGAAACGTCGTCCCCAGGCTGTGCTCTTATGACCTTTGCATACTCTCGACTACACGCAAGAGTGACCCTGGGTAAGGGTGACCTCTGGTGCGCGGCTTTTTGGGGTCCCGCGGGGGGGGGGGGGGGGGGGGCAAAAACGAGCGCGCGAGACGCAACTACCGCATCGCGTTCGGCGATCGGGGGGCCGCATCTGGCCATCGCTCGAACGTCCATTCCCTATGTGTTTTTCCGGTTTCGTGCGTGGCTGTTTCGCCAAATGATCAAGGATGCTCCTCGATGGTCCTCGCCGCAGAAAAAATGCACACGTCCGAGCGATGCCAGGCCATTGGGCCCGCACCAAAGGTCACTCCGGCGAAAGGCCACTCTTGCGTGTAGTGGACTATTACCAGCATGGAACAAATCCCTATCCCTATGCTGGGCACCTCCTCATCACGATGCCAATCTCAGGGATTCCCTTCGTTTTTGAGGGCGAATCCCTAAGACTGTCATCGCCTTTTGGCGTGTCAATCTTGGGGATAGGGATAAGTTCGAGGCTGGTAAGAATACTCCTCCTGGGGGGGGGGGGGGGGGGGCCCCTTCAGGCCTGCGCCGGGCGGCAGCGCTCGGCCGTGCGCGGGAGGCGGCCGCCGGCGCGGTGGGCCACCCGTGGGCGCGCGGCGCGCCGGCCCTGCCGCGCCCCCTCCGAGCGCCGCGCACCTAGAAGGGGGCCGCTCCCACGAGCGCGGGGCCACCCTCGACGTGCAGCCTGCCCTCCCCCCTCCTCCCTCCTCCCTCCTCCCTCGTCCCTCCTCCCCTCCTCCCTCGTCCTCCTCCTCCTCCCTCCCTCCTCCCCCCACCCTCCTCTCCTCCTCCCTCGCCCTCCTCCTTTCCTCCTCCCCTCCTCCTACTCCTCCTCCCCTCCTCCGTCCCCTATCCTCCTCCTCTCCCTCCTCCTCCTCCCTCCTCCTCCCTCCTCCTCCTCCTCCACCTCCTACTCGTCTCGTCCTCCTCCTCCTCCTCCTCCTCCTCCTCCTCTCCTCCTCCTCCTCCTCCTCCTCCTCCTCGGGTCGCCTACGGCCCCGGGTGAAAAACGTGCACCCCCCGTCCAGTTCCAGAGCCTCGTGCTTGGCAACGCCTCCGCGACGCCCGCGGCGCTCTGCGGCGCCCGCCACCCTCGCCGCACCCCTCGTGCCCACCGCCCGCCCGCCTCGCTCATCGCTGCGCACGCCTGCGTTCCACCGCCTCCGCTCTCTCCAAAATTGAAGGGGCCCTGGGACACACAAATAAATACACACAAATAAAAAGAATCCCCATATCTTCCAGATGTTCTGGGTTTCTGTCTTCCCCCCCACTTCCCATATTTACCTAACAGCTTTTGCTGATAGGTTTCTAGTGGTCTGCATCATGACTCCTCCGGGGGGTCGGGGCGGGACCCGGACAGGCTGCCGCCGCGGCTGCCGCCGAAGCTGAAATCGCTTGGGACATCCTCGCAAAATCGCTCTTGGCGCTCGCAGAACTCCATTCCCGGGCAACATTTTGAATGCCCGGAGCCAACTGTAGACCACTTCGTGCTCTTCGACATCCCAGAACTCCATTCCCGGGCCACATTTTGGATGCCCGGAGCCAACTGTAGGCCACTTCGTGGTCTTCGAGTTCCCAGAACCCCATTCCCGGGCCACATTTTGGATGCCCGGAGCCAACTGTAGGCCACTTCGTGGTCTTCGAGTTCCCAGAACTCCATTCCTGGGCATGATTTTGAATGCCCGGAGCCAACTGTAGGCCACTTCGTGTTCTTCGAGTTCCCAGAACTCCATTCCCGGCCACATTTTGAATGCTGAGGCAGGCTGATGCTGAGGCTGAGGCAGGCTGAGGATGAGGCAGGCTGAGGCTGAGGCCGAGGCTGAAGGCAGACTGAGGCTGAGGCTGAAGCAGGCTGAGGCTGAAGCTGAGGCAGGCTGAGGCTGAGGCTGAGGCAGGCTGATGCTGAGGCAGGCTGAGGCTGAGGCTGAGGCTGATGCAGGCTGAGGCTGAGGCAGTCTGAGGCTGACGCCGAGACTGAAGGCAGACTGAGGCTGAGGCTGAAGCAGGCTGAGGCTGAGGCTGAGGCAGGCTGAGGCTGAGGCAGGCTGAGGCTGAGGCTGAGGCAGGCTGAGGCTGAGGCTGTGACTGTGACTGCCGTTGCAACTGCGACTGTCATCGCGAATGCGACTACGACTGCGAGAACAGCAGAATTCTACAACTGGATTTTCATCTGAATCTTAACGGGGATACTTCCAGATATGCTCCTACACATCGCTGTTAGGTTGCTTTGCCGGGATAATTTCCCAAATGTATTGGGAATGGACGATGAATTGTTACCTAACAGCTCTTGCTGATAGGTTTCTAGTGGTCTCGAAAGAGAGCATCATGACTCCTCAGGGGGGTCGGGGCGGGACCCGGACAGGCTGCCGCCGCGGCTGCCGCCGCACTCGTTTTTCACAAACAGTCACACTCTTCGTGCTCTTCGACATCCCAGAACTCCATTCCCTGGCCACATTTTGGATGCCCGCAGCCAACTGTAGGCCACTTCAGAACTCCATTCCCGGGCCACATTTTGGATGCCCGGAACCAACTGTAGGCCACTTCGTGCTCTTCGATTTCCCAGAACTCCATTCCCGGGCCACATTTTGGATGCCCAGAACCAACTGTAGGCCACTTCGTGCTCTTCGATTTCCCAGAACTCCACTCCTGGGCATGATTTTGAATGCCCGGAGCCAACTGTAGGCCACTTCGTGTTCTTCGAGTTCCCAGAACTCCATTCCTGGGCCACATTTTGAATGCTGCGGCAGGCTGATGCTGCGGCCGAGGCAGGCTGAGGCTGAGGCAGGCTGAGGCTGAGGCCGAGGCTGAAGGCAGACTGAGGCTGAGGCTGAAGCAGACTGAGGCTGAGGCTGAGGCAGGCTGAGGCTGAGGCTGAAGCAGGCTGATGCTGCAGGCAGGCTGAGGCTGAGGCTGAGGCTGATGCTGAGGCTGAGGCAGGCTGAGGCTGAGGCCGAGGCTGAAGGCAGACTGAGGCTGAGGCTGAAGCAGGCTGAGGCTGAGGCTGAGGCAGGCTGAGGCTGAGGCAGGCTGAGGCTGAGGCTGAGGCAGGCTGAGGCTGAGGCTGTGACTGCGACTGCCGTTGCCGCTGCGACTGTCATCGCGAATGCGACTACGACTGCGAGAACAGCAGAATTCTACAACTGGATTTTCATCTGAATCTTAAGGGGAATGCTTTCAGATATGCTTCTACACATCGCTGTTAGGTTGCTTTGCCGGGATAATGCCTGTGTGTTTTTTCTCTCCTGGAAAATGGGAGAGGCCAAACGGTTACCATGGCCGGTACTCCCCGGACCTCTCCCGGGGTGCGTCCTGATCAGCATGTCGCAGCGAATCCAGCAGTGGCGACGAGGTCCTCCCAGGAGGCCACAGCAAGGGAACACGGGGGAAAGGCTAGCGGCACGGGTCAAATCTTCTCATCTGACAGATGGCGTCCCTATGATACATGGATCCGTGCAAGCTCGCGCGAATTGGATTGAGACAACGGTCGCCAACCTGCTGGCCGACGCGTTATAGGAAGACCACGCCCCGGGCTCAAGACCTCCGGTGCTTCTGGCGCTGTCGGCGACTTGGGCGCATCGAGCGCTCGCTGCGCGGGACAACTCAGGGCGGCAACTCCTGGGTGGTCTCCGCCAGAACGGCTTGAGGCTGCTGGGCCCGGTTAGGGGGCCAGTGAGCCAGGCCAGGCTGGATAGGGGCCCCAGATTCATCCAGATCAGGCGGGGATAGTTGGGCAAGGACCGACCGTCCCGGCATTCCTATAGTCCTACCACGAAATGTTCTTAGAACCCAAACATGTTCTAAGAACCAAAACAATGTTCTTAGAAAATAAACCCGATGTGTGAAAACAAGACAGTCCCAACCAGAAATGTTCAAAGAACATTTCGTGGAAACCACGCAAAGTTCTTAGAACATTGTTTGGTAGGGCCATAGGCGAGCCAGGACGCTTCGCCACTGCTTGAAATAGGCCGGATGGAGCGGGATTTCGGTCCGGAGCCCTTGCCTGGCGCGTCGCGGCGGCGGCCCCGGCGGCACGCCAAATGCTCTGCGAGCGGCTACATCGCGTCGCCCCGCCCAGCGGGGCGGGAGGCTGGGAGCAGCTCGGGGCCCTGGGCGACGTGGATTCAAGTCGAGCGTGTCCCCCTACAGGGGGATATTTTGTGCGAAAAATACAAGAAAACCCAAACATACCCCAAAAAGGCAAAAAAATATTTAAAAATAGTCCCCTATACTATTTTTGGATTATTTTTGGGCTATGTTTGGGGTATTTTTTTCATCGAAAATCCCCCTGAAGGGGGACACGCCCGACTGAACGCTAAGAGCTAAGACACTCTTCCTCACGGTATACCAGCGCCGATGCTAAAACTGACCAGTCCCCAGGCATTGCGTCCTGGTGAGGGGCAGCGACCAGGGGGGGACTGGCATAGGGGGGAGGGAATCGGCGATACATCGCCGATAGGCGATACACCGCGATAGGCGATGGCAGGGAGTCCACCTGGAATCGGCGATACATCGCCGACAGGTCGGCGATGGGGCCCTGACGGCGAATCCGCACGCTCCTGGGCAGGCGTCGGCGCTATCGGGCCCCTGTCGGCGATCCATGGGCGGCTGGGGGTCGATGCGTCCCCCCCTGTGCAGGTCCCCCTGTCTGGAAGAAGCGCCGCCCGGGGGGCCCAGCGCGGATGCAAGAAATCCGCGCGGAGCGCCTAAATTTAATGTCTGTGCCACTCTTTCTTCTTCGACTGTTGAAAGCATCCCTGGGCCCCCCTCCCTGGCGCGCGCAGAGCGCCAGGGGCGGCGCCAGAGGCGCCGCCGACGCCGACGATCATCGCGGCGGCGACGCCAGAGGCGCCGCCGCCGCGATGTATTCTTCTTCGCCTATCCCCCATCAATGATGTTGATGCTGATGATGATTATGATGATGGTGGTGATGATGATCATGATCATGATCATGATGATGACGATGATGATGATGATGATGATGATGATGATGATGATGATGATGATGCTGATGCTGATGCTGATGCTGATGCTGATGCTGATGCTGCTGCTTCTGCTGCTGCTGCTGCTGCTGCTGATGATGATGATGATGATGATGATGATGATGATGATGATGATGCCATGTATTCCTCTTCGCCCATCCCCCATCCATTGTTGCCCCTGACCTGAGATGGTGCTCCGCCAGCGGCGCGCCCCTCACTGCGCCGCAGTCTCCAGGGCGGCCTGCGCTGCCACGAGCTCCGGGTCGGCCTGCGCTGCCCGCCCTCTCCCCGTAAGAGGGGCAACGCCCCCTCGCGGCAGGGGGGCCCGCCGGGAGAGCACAGAGGCGACGCCGCCCAGCCCCCTCCTCCCTCTCCTCCTCCTGCTCCTCATCCTCCTCCTCCTCCTCCTCCTCCTCCTCCGCCTCCTCCTCCTTCTCCTCCTTCTACTCCTCCTCCTCCCCCTCCTCCCCCTCCTCCTCCTCCTCCTCCTCCTCCTTCTCCTCGTCAACCTCCTCCTCCTCCTCCTCCTCCCCCTCCTCCTTCCCTCCCCCTCCCCCTCCTGGTCTCCGTCTCCCTCCTGAGCCCCCTTCTCCCGTGGTCTCCGCCCACGCTACAGACGCTGTTGGCTTTCGGTTTTCCGCCAACCAGAACCTGGGATGCGGGCGTTTACCCACGTCCACCGCCTGCGAACCGACGTCCTGGTGCCCCAGCGGGCTGTGGGTATGGATACATACATACACACACATACATATATATATATACATATAAATATATGTGTATCTATATATATGTATACACATGTATATAGAGAGAGGCCCCCGGGCCCCGAATATATCCATATCTACCGCCTCCTGAGGCCCCCGAAAGTCGACCCTCCAGGCGGTGGTCATGCATAATTCCCCGCCTCGGGAAACAGGAGGCCAACAAGCACACACCGATACCGCTCGCCAGAAGACCGTCGAGGCAGAGGTCCTGTGGGCGCACCCCCCCCTCACGCGTCACCGCAGAAGCTCTGTTCCCTCGTTTGTCCGACGCGCGAGATCGACGCATGCACGTGGCCATTCTGCCGCCCCCTATGCAGCTCACCCCACCGGCAGAAAACGGCCGCGAAAGGATTCGACGCGACCCGTTTTGCAAAACGGGGAGCCGAAAAAGACTGCAACCCAAAACACTTGAAGCCATAACTATGACAGCGGGAAACGGAGCATAGCCGAAAAAACAGCACAGACGAGAATCCCCAAACGACGCAAGACGCACCCCACAACTTGAAAACAAGCACGCCGACCTTGAAAACGAAGGGAAGGGGAGGACCAAACACGCCCTCATCGCTTTTAACATGCACCTCTCCGCCCCCTTCCCCCCCGCTCCCCTCCTGCCCCAGCCCATCCTGCCCCCTGGGCCCAGGGGCGCACGAGTGGGCCCCCAACCCCATCATGCAATTGGGCTCCCTGGCATTGGGGTCAGATGGTCCAGGGTTCCGCAGCAAGCACCGCGTGGGCTCGGCCTCTTCGAGGCTGGGCCAAGGGGCACTCCTCGCACACATCGCCGCGCACATCACTTATGGCGACTGCGCTCCGGTCCTCACCCTCCTCCCCCTCCTCCTCCTCCTCCTCCTCCTGCTCCCGCACCCTCTCCGCCTCCTCCATCCCATTTCCTTACGAAGAGCTCCTCGTCTGGCCGCCAAACGTGCCGGTAAGCCGGGCGAGTGGTGTGGTCGCACGAAGTTGCCTCACATATTTACAACCTGGTGCTTGCAGTTTTCCAGCCTATACAAGGATGGAGGGTGGGTCGTCTTCAAAATGGAGCTTTCGCCTGAGCGCCACGCACGTTCCCCCCAGAAAAAACGTGCAATCGCATTAGCGACGCGCGCAGTCGCCCGAAAAGCTTGCAACAGTCACATTGATGGAGGACGATGCCTTTTCAAAATGGGTGTCGCTTGCTTTAGCTCCCAGCACGTTCGTCCTAAACGCTTCCACCAACTACAGGCGACGGAGGACGGTCCTAAATTTCCATACTCTTTTCACGTTCCACCGACGTAATGATCTGATTGATCTCCGCGCGAAGAAAGAGCCAGAAGACCACCCGCTAGCCACGCCAGAATCGTCCTCCCTGGATATACTGGTGGCCCTGGGACGCGTCAGAATACTGCATTCAGCAGGGGCCCGACCACGAGAAACTTTCCACAAGAGACCCAACCCTGAGACCCCAGGACGTCTATTGACCTTTTTTGTGGGGGAGCGTCACGCTCTCCGCAGCAAAACCATCGAAACCCAAGAAACCCAGGGCACCCTGGAGGCAAGCAGGGTGCTTCCTGGCATGGGTCTCCACCATGTTCGCGCCCCTGACGCCACGACCCCCGCTGCATCACATCAAGCTCGCACGAGGCCACAACCCTTAGCAATCACACCAGACTCGGGATCCCGACACCAAGATTCCCCGTACGCTACGCTTAAGTCGGGCGGCTCCCTCTACAGGGGGATTTTCGACAAAAAATGCAACATACTAAAAAAATATGCCAAAATGGTCAAAAATATTCAAAACATAGTCCCCATACTATTTTGGACTATGTCTGAATATCCTCCTGTAGAGGGACGAGCCCGACTGAACACTAAGCCAGGCTCGCACTTCTAAGGCCACCGTCCCTTGCTGACGTACGGCAGCTTCCAGCTCCACGGGCAGAGCCGTTGCAGATTCCCTCGCACTCGCGCTCTCCAAGACAACCCCCCTTCGTAACACAGTTGAAACCAGGTTCGCGCTCCCAATCCACGGAACCAATTCCCTCTCCAAGACAATCCCCCAAGTATAACAAGTTCGCGCCCCGGAAGCCACAATCCCCACACTGTTGGAACAAGTCCGTGCTCCCGAAAGCCGCAATCCCTCACACATCACTCCAGGCTCGCGCTCCCTGAGCCACAATCCCACTGAACGTACTGCAGATTTGCGCTCTCGGCGCCATAACCCCCTGGTAGATTACGCCAGACTTGCGCTCCTGAGACCATTATCTTTTTCTGAAATGCACCAGCTCCGTGCTCACAAGGCCGCAATCCAGGCACGTGTTCCCGAGAGCACACCTCTTCCTAACGTGCTCTAGGTCGGCGCTCCCGACACCGCAACCCCTTGCAGCGCACGCCAGGCTCGCACTCCCCGAACCACAATCCCTACTAAAATACGCCAGGCTCGCGCTCCCCAAGCCACGTGCCTTTGCAGAATTACGGGCTCGCGCTCCCCAGGCCAAAAGCCCCTGTCAGATTTCAACCAGGCTCGCGCTCCCGAGGCTACGCCGCCGCTGAAATCACGAGGAGCACGCGTCCCCGCAGCCATGATCCCCTGTCCTGAATCACACCTCGGCGCCACCGAGGCCAACCCACTGTGAATCGCTACACACACAAAAACTTGATGCCCTCAGTGGACCCAGAAACGAGACGGCACCACCCCCCACCTGCGGCACGACGGTGCTGGAGTCTCAAGCACCTGCCCCGTGCAGCCCCGGCTTGCCGTCGCGAAGGCTCCGCAGTGGCGTCAGGGCTGATGGCCTGGCGCACCCGAGGCCACGAGCCCACCCCCCGCAGGCCGCCCACATGCGCCACGGCCCCTCTGTTCGGGGGGCCTCGTTCGGCCGCACCCGTGGCTTCCCGAACATGCGGCCTGGAGCTCGCGGCCACGACCCCTCGCAAGAAACTCTGGGAGGCGCGGTCCCGAAGCCTCGAACCTCTTTTCAATTACACCGGAAGCGCGCCCCCGCGGCCAACATCCAGCATTGACTGGTACAGGCGCGCGCAACCAGCCAGCTAGCAAACAGCCCAAATCAATTGCCAATCGTCACTTTAGGCAACAAGCCAATCAGCCGTGTTGCCAGCCAGCCAGCCGACGGAAAAACCAACCGACCTACGTACCCAGTGTGGCCATGCAAGCAATCTGAGGAGGGGCCGGCGGCAGAGGGCGAAGCCCTTCAGATAACAGCTGAACGGATGGAGGTCGTCTCCTTTTCACACTGGAGCAAGTGTTTGATAGTTCTCGAAGCTCATGACCAGAAATGCAAACAACACTCCTGGGACTGCCCCATGCCGACGATACTCCCAAGATGATTATGCAGATTTATGTGGCCCTTGCTTCTCCCGCTTGCCCTCGCTCCGAAACGGCCGCGTGGGCCCCCGGGATCGCCTCAACCAAAACTCAGAAGTCCGCGCCTCCGAGACGGCCCAGTACGCCCGAAGGGCGTGCTGATGGCGGTTCTGTGTTCTCCATGGCGCGCCGCCTCGCTACTTCGGCTGACCGACGCTCCAAGACGGCCCACGAGGCCCCCGAGATCGCCACGCGACAGCCCAACAAGCCCCCAAGAGAGCTCCAAGACAGCCCAAGAGGGCCCCAAGGCGGCCCCAAGAAGCCACCGGGACGACCCAAGAGGGGCCCCAGGACGGCCCCAAGAAGGCACCCAGCAGGGGAACCCGAGTGAACATTTCAAGCTTCGGTCCCAAGAGGCCCCCAGGAAACTCTAAGAGGCCCCCAGGAGGCTCCCAAGAGGCCCCAAGAGAGCCCCAAACGGTCCCAAGATGCCCCAAGAGGCTCCCAAGAAGCCCCCAGGTTGGCCCCCAAGAGGCCCCTAAACTCCCCCGCAATGGCCCCCGAGAGCCCCCTCGAGAGACCCCAAGGAGAGCCCATGAGGACTCCGACCCAAAACCCAAGCACGGTGGCGACATGGGCCGACGACTATTTGATAGCTGGCATACGCGCCGAGTCACGACTTTGGATGCTGCGCATCACTTCGACAAACTCCCAGGGAGCGGCCGGTGATGCGCCGACGGCGTCCTCGATAACAGCTGAACGGATGGAGGTCGTCTCCTTTCCACACTGGGGCAAGTGTTTGATTTCCCCATATCCTAAGATGGGGTTCTTGTTATTACTTGGACGCCTCCTACTCCCTCTCCTTCTCCCTCCTCCTCTTTCCTCCTCCCCTCCTGTCGGACTTACTCATACTCAGACTTGCTCATACTCAGACTTACTCATACACAGATACTCAGACTTACTCATACTCAGACCTACTCATACTCAGACTTACTCACACTCAGACATACTCATACACAGACTTACTCATACACAGACTTACTCACACCCAGACGTACTCATACACAGACTCACTCATACCCAGACTTACTCATACACAGTATTAGTCATACTCAGACTTACTCATACCCAGACGTACACATACACAGACTTTCTCATACACAGACCTACTCATACCCAGACTTACTCATACACAGACTTACTCAT